ATTCACATTATGAAGCGTTATTCTCATTGAAACCGAAATTCATGCATGTCATTCACACAAAGCCCTGTAACTATAAACTCACAATACTGATACTGTACTCTGTAAAATGTTCTTTCATGCAAATAAGAGGATGTGCCCTAAAAAAGAATAGTCAATGTCCTAGTCATCAAAATCAACATAGGACATAATCCTAGTTATATTTCTACTACATGTATAAAGATCAATCCAAGATCAAATGTTTTAGGAAACCAGAACAAAATGGTGCCTGTATATGCATACCCCCATCTCCACAAATAAAAAATTGATAAAATGAAGTCATATACTAATAAATTTCACTCAGATGCTTCCAGAATGGCGTTAGCATTCAGATTAAAATAATAAACATCAAAACATGCATTTGGACAGTTTCATTTTCTAACCAGGTGCTGAGGGACTTGTGGCCTTGACAAGAAAGTGCATAGATGTTGAAAATCAATTCCATGTAACTGGTTTCACAAATCTCAGTTAAATACAAAGGCTCAACTGTGATTTTGGGTTAATGTACTTTAACCTTTTCACCACCAGACTTTTCCACGACAATTTTTCTACGCTTTTTTTTTTTTATCCTTCAATGTTTCTGGAAATGAGCCCAAATTTTGGAGTCAATTTTCAGTTTTGACTGAAAAAAATTTTGTCTGTTTTTGTTCTTTTTTCTCTGAAGGAAAGTGCTGCAGCTTATAAACAGGAGTATTCTGTGAATTTGTGATAAAAAGACAGACCTGGTCGTGAAAAGGTTGAACACTTTGAAATTGCTACATGACATTTTATTGACACCTGTTTGCGAAGAACACAATGTCTGTGTGTGTCTGTTTCACTCAAGAATCAATTATCAGATTTTAATGAAACCTGGTACATGCATGTAGATGCTCTGGGATAATGCACTGACTTCATTTGTTTTTGTTGGCAATCCTATGCATATTAATTACCTAATTTGCATATTAAATAGCCAAGTTTAAGCATTTTCACTGGTTTCTCAACAGATTTGAATTAAACTTGGTACATATACACATTGTATGCCCTGGGGTATAGCACTGACCTGATTATTTTTTAGCTTCGCTGTCGACTTTGTCGAGCGGAGCTTATCATATGAGTGATTGTCCGTCGTCGTCGTCCATGTCAATGTTTTACTTTTTCGACTTCTTCTTGAAAACTACAAGCCTGAATGCTTTGATACTTGGTGTATATGTACCTTGGGTAGACCTCTCTTAGGTTTGTTCATTTCATGTTGATATCTTCAATTCTCTAATTTTGGTGAATATTTTTGTCATTTTTGGTAAAAAGTGATATTTTCGACTTCTTGTTAAAAACCGCAAGTCCGATTGCTTTGATATTACATATATAAGTACTACATGTGGACCTCTCTCAGATTTGTTCATTTTGTGATGATATTTTCAATTCTCTAATTTTGGTAAATATTTTTGTAATTTTTGGTAAAAAGTGATATTTTCGACTTCTTGTTAAAAACTGTAAGTCCGATTGCTTTGATACTATTCATATTGTTCATTTTCTAATGATGTCTTCAGTTCTTTAATTGAAATGTGCATTGCTAACAGCGGAGCTATCTCAGCCGATAGACTGCTTGTTTAATTGTATTCCATGCATATTAATTACCTAATTTTCATATTAATTAGCCAATATTTTTCTTTTTCACCAGTATCTCAAACACTCGTCAGATTTAATGAAACTTGGTGCATGGATGCTCTGGGATAAACTAAATTAACCAATTTATAGGAGCTCCACAGATTACTTTACTACATTGTACCACTTATGTTTTAATGTAAATAGATATATACAATGTATGTGCTTTTGAGTAATCCACAGATCTGATTACTTCAGGGTTGAAATCTATGCATACATGTGTATTAATTAATTACCTACTAAGTATAAATAGTTTTATGTGTCCTTATTATGCATGACTGTAATGTACTAAGCACTGCTGCAGATTGTGACATGCAACCAGTTCTATAATGAAGGCATCTGACAATGTGATATGACTAATGCATCAGATGACTATATATGGTCATGTGACCTCATTAATATGCATAACTGTAATGTACTAAGCACTGCTGCAGATTGTGACATGCAACCAGTTCTATAATGAAGGCATCTGACAATGAGATATGACTAATGTATCTGATGACTATATATGGTCATGTGACCTCATTAATATGCATGACTGTAATGTACTAAGCACTGCTGCAGATTGTGACATGCAACCAGTTATATAATGAAGGCATCTGACAATGAGATATGACTAA